CCGATTCTCCTCTCACCCTAGCAAGTAACCCTCCAAGTGCTCCCCTATCCTCTCCGGCCTTTCATCTGGCAGGCAGTTAACCAGTTAACCAGATGATGTAAAAGGGAAGCTTGGCCCTGGACTACCTAATGGGAGAAGACAAATACTGGTGCTGCTAATTGAACTGAGGGCCCTGCATTGAGCTACTCTCCAGGATTTTTCATTTTTTGAGACAGGGTCTCACTAAATTGTCCAGGCTGGGCTCAAACTTTCCATCCTCCTGCTTCCCAGAGTGCTGGGATGACACATGCCTGTAGTGCGTCACCATGACTGGCTAGGAGCCATGCTTTCTGACTGTTAACCCAGGGAAGGGGAGATAAGCATTGAACCTGGTGTCAGCAAAACTGTCCACACAGGCCCCAGTTCCGCAGCACACTCAGGCGGGAGCACGCTCGCTTCCTCAGTCCTGCCGCAGACCTAGTTCACACTGTTACCACAGCCCCTACTGCCTGTGTCTGGCTCCCACCCCTAGTTTGACGGCCCCTTGGGAGGCACTGTCATTTTCACCTGTCCTCACAGTCAGCACCCTCCTTTTCTTTTGAGACAGGTTCTCACTGTGTTGACCAGGCTGGTCTCAAACTACTCAACCCAAGCGATCCTCCTGCCTCATCCTCTTGAGTGCTGAGATGACAGGCTAATGCACGCCCTTGAAGGGCACACTATATAGTCACTAAAGACTAGTGAGAGTACAGGAGAAGAACATGGCTTATCTTTGGCATGGAAGTCGAGGGGTAAAACTCGTCCCTTGTGTGAATGACTCCCATTTACAACTAGTTACCAAGCCCATCATTCAAAGGCTCCTCCACTGAAAATTTAGAATTTGAAGGACACAGTGCTCTAAACCTTTTAGGCTTTGTTATCCCTTGCTTCCCGGACAGCCTCTGGCCTTGAGTCCTGAACAAAGGGTACCACACAGGGCGCACATGTGGGGGCCACAGCCTGGAAACCCACATCTCAGGGCTCACCTGCAGCTCCTGACTGAAGTCTCCTCAAACATCCACTCAAGGGGAAAGTCACTTTCCGGATAACTACTGCTGATCTCTACATAAAAAGTCCTTCTCCTTCTCCTTCTCCTACCCTATGAAACATTCACACTGAGCCTCCCTGACAAGGGATTAATAAAAAGGTAGAGAAGTGAAACCAAACCCAGACACAGAAAGCTCCACACTAGATGTGTTCAGAAACTGGGTGGGAAGCGCACATGTGTGACATTCCTTAAAATGTTAAGAGGGTGGGAACCATGAACTATTCCACAGTACACAGCTCCATTGTGGGGCTAGGAAAGGACCAGGAAGTCAAGAAAGCTCCCATTTAGCATGGGTCAGGCAGGCAGCTGAAAGCTGTACTCCAAGAAAAGATCCCAGGGGGCACATTTTTCAGGTTACAGATGGGAGACTTGGGATCCCAGTCACTGTCAACTAAACAAGGATGCAGGACTGAAATTCCACCATCCTCCACCTCAAATTTCAGCTGGGCAGACCTCCTCTTGCCTGTATTGTGCCAGGTACCAGACACATTCACAGACATGATCTCAGTTAATCCTCACTTCCACCTGCAAGGAAGTCTTATCCACCCACTGGAGAGAGCAGACAGGAGGTTGGGAGAGGCAAGCCACAGGCTGTTCTCCCCACTATGTACCGCCTAAATTCCCCCACCCTACACCCCGGGACCAGGGATCGAACTTAGGACCTTGCGCTTGCAAGGCAGACACGGTGCCTCTGAGTTAAATCCCAGCTCTACTGCCTAAATTTCCCTTGGGAAAGACAACCTCCTCCCCTCCAGGCAGCTACACTTGAGCACATGCTGTAAGACATCCTGACAACAAATGGAATCCCACCTGCACAGTAACCTCCCAGACAGACGGGCTGCTGAGCAGGCTGAGTCCCCAGACAGCCCATTCCTCCAAACTCAGCCCTGGCCAGACGTCAGGAATGAAAGCCTTTGCATGCTCAGGATCCTGATTCCAATTCTCCAGACTGGGTAAAAAATAACCACAACTTCCCCTGCACTTGGTTCCTCCCCAAAGAGCTGCTGAACCTCATCTGGAAACAGCTGGGAGGCAGCAGTTAACAGGAAACCAAAGCAAGAGAAAAAAAAAAAAAAGCAGCACAGCACAGAGTGTACCAGGGAGGGTTAAGCAGCCAGAACCAAGAGGCCAGGGGACAGACAGGAAGCTGAAGTTAGAAAGGACGGAGGCCAGAAACAGTCGCACAGAGGAGAGGAGAAGACCAGCTGGCCTTTCTCTAGCCAGAGCAGGAGACCAGGGGAGGGCAGTGGCCAAGGCGCTGACCTGGCTGAACGGGAAGTGAGCCCAGCTCTGAGGCTGGCCCTTCTCCCACTGCACCTAACCGACTTCTCCGGAAACCAGCAGGTAGTTGTCAGGCCAAACTTCTCCTCTCCAGCTTCTGTCAATCTGTACCAAATTCCACACTGCTGGCTAAACTCAGCCTCACACAGAGACAGAGAGGACCTCAGTGAGACCCTGCCAGACAGAGCTGCCAGCCCTCAGTGGGGGAGCAGGGCCAGCAAGCAAGCAGCACAGCCGGCTGAGCTGGGAGCCTAACAGCTGGGCAAGCTCCCCCAAATCAGCAGTCCGTTCTGCAATCAAGAAAGGTGACTGAAAAAATAAAAAATAAAAAGGGTTGGAGATGAAAGAAAAGAAAAGAAAGTTGACTGGCCAACGGCCAGTTACCGAAATATTTTGAAAGAAATGGGAATAAACAGGTCATTACTAAATTCCCTGGTGTACTCAGAAGCCTTCAGGTTACCCAAAGAAGGGCAAAGGGGAGCCCGGCTCATTCTTTCCTAGCAGAGCTTACTTAGCGAGGGCTTTCTAGCCCGCATCGCCTGTGACTCCGGCATTTCTTCTCCCCTTTACATGAAGAAGTTTATATTAAAGAAGAGGATTAAGTTCTCTTAATAAAACACATTCTTGTCTTTCACCTCCAGTTCTGTTTGAAAAGGCTTTTTCAAAGCAGAGTTTATGCTACAACCCAGTGGAGCCTGATGCCAATGCAAGTGCTCAAAATATGAGACTGAAGGGCGCCCAGGCTGCAAGCTCAGGGCCATCTGTCCTTTTAAAAGCAGAACATCTTCACAGGCTCGGTGCCAGCCTGGGCTGGCAAGACCTGAGAACCAGAGTGGAGACTGCCCAATGTGCCACGTCAGGGGCGCAGGAGGGCAGACTGCACAAGAGGGACAGGCAAGGGCTTTGTTTCGGGAACATAACAAATGAACAAGCCAACTGATCATTTACTCCACAGGGGAAAATGCCATCCAAGGCCAAGGAGCTAGTATTTTAAATCCAGGTAAGGCATAATGTTTTAACTGGGATTTATCTGAGCAGCTCATTACTCTCCCAAACAGGGGTCAGAGGAATGTTCCTACTCTTTTTCACAAGGCTGCTGGAGTCTCGAAGGACATTTCCTGGGCTGCCAGCAAAGCAAAGTTAAGCAGCCAGAGCCGGGCAGATACTAAGGATACTAATGCAGGAAGCCCAGCTCAGCAGAGATCTCATCACCAGCTCTTCGGGGCTGGGCTGCTCAGGCCCTGCAGCCAGTCCAAAGAACTGAAGTCACCTGAAGCAAATACCTAATGCAACCCTGGGGAAAGGAGAGAGCAGAGAGAGGTTTTAACCCTGGAGGGCCAGGCATTTCTTTTACTTGGAAAAAAGGGATCTCCAGCATGGTGCGGTGCTATATGCCTGTAATATCAGCATCCAGGAGCCTGAGGCAGGAAGACTGCCATGGGTTTAAGGCCAGCCTGGGCTACATAGTGAGTTCAAGGCCAGCCTGGATTCCAGAGTTAAGACCCTGTCTCAAAAAAATAGAAATAACAGGGCCGGGGATTTAGCTCAGTGGTTCTGGCGCCTGCCTCAAAAGTGCAAGGTCCCAAGTTCGATCCCCGATACCAAAAAAAAAAAAAAGAAATAACAGCAGAAAACAAATTGCGTTGAAGTGTTGGATGGTATCTGGGATGTCTGGCCTGGACACTGTCATCTCCCGTATATAATGTTTCAGGGCAGCCAGAAATTCCTCCAACTTACTAGGAGGACAGTTGGCACCTCCAAAAGTCTTCCTAGGATCCCCAGGGCCCTCCTCCAGGGCCTTCCAATAAGTGGGTTGTAAAGTGGCCCAATCTCTTAGCACAGGTACAATATGAAAAGTAGTTCACATTTTAATCCCTGCACTCTGGGAGGCTAAAGCAAGAAGACTGCCAAGTTCCAGCCCCGGGAAACTTAGCAAATTGGCAAGAACTTGTCTCCAAATTAAAAGTACAAGGGCTGGGGATTTAGCTCAGGGGTGCCGAAGTCTTCCTCACAAGCACAAGGTCCAGAGTTCGATCCCCGATACCAAAACAAACAAACAAACAAAAAGGGGGTTGGGGGTGGGGATATAGCTCAGTGGAAAGGTCTTGGGTTCAAACCCCAGTACCGAGCCCCCCTCCAAAAGTAGCTAACATTTATGGAGCGCCTAACTGCGCAGGCACCGGAATAAGCACTTTATCTCAGTCCATCCCCACAAGAGCCCCTGGGAGGCACACACTACGGGCATCCTCTAAAGGAGGAAGCAGGCTCCAAGGCGTTACACAATCGTTAAATAATGGAGCCAGGGTCACAGATGGCTTAGACAGGCGGTCTTCTCCACCGCTGGCTACTGCACACTCAGGGGATGGGACAGGCAGCGCCGAGTAACACGAGGTGCAGCCCGCATCCGCACCTCCTCTGGTCCCAGACCTGTGCCCCCGACCCTAGGGGCAAGGCCTGGATGCAGAGCGAGAAGCCGGAAGAAGCAGAGCACAGCTGCCGCAGGAGAGCAGGACGGCGGCGCTTCCCCCAGCGGTGGGGACCCCGGCCGCACACATCCTCCCCACGGAACGCGTGCATCCCCGGGGTCCTGGCGGCCCGGCCCTCCGTCGTGTCAAAGGGAAGCCCCGCAGGGCCGTGGGTCCGCCAGTCCTACCTGTAGGCCAGGGTCATGCACTCGAAGAGCTTGGTGAGCGAAGCGTCGATGGACAGGTGGCAGGAGCTGGTCTTGCCGAAGCTGTAGGTCTGGCACGTCTGCTTGTTGACCGTGTCGAAATCGTAGCCCTTCTTGGGCGGGTGCTCGCGGTGCGGCGACGACACCATGAAGTGGCCGCTGTGGATGATCTGCTGGCTGCGCGGAGGCTCCTCGCGCCCCGAGCCGGCCCGGGGCAGCAGCGGCGTGGCGCTTGCGTGGGGTCGGGCCGCGGACGCCGACCCGGAGGCGGGCGGCGGGGACGGCTCATCCGTGTCCGAGTCGTCGTCGTCCTCCGGCACCGGCGGCTTGAGCAGAACCGAGCGGACCCGGCTGCGGGGCCGGCGAGGGGAGCACATGAAGACGTCGGCGGCCATGAGGGGGCCCTGGCCGGGGCATCCCCCGGGGCCCGGGGAGACGCGGCGATGCGAGGCTAAGGGGTACCGGCCGGGCCAGGCCCGCGCACGGACTATCCGCGGGCGCGCGGCAGGGGAGGGCGCCGGCCCGGCGTGACGTCACGGGAGCGCCCAGCCAATCGGATGCTCGTGCCCGCCCCTTAAAGGCACAGAGAAATTGCTTCTTAGTTAGGAGGACAAAAAAAAAAAAAAGGAACCGGGAGGCCACGCCTCACTGCCCCGCCCCTCGCCACCGCCTCTCCTCTCCGGGAACCACGGGACCCTTGCGACAGGCAGTGGTCCTTGCGGGTCTCTGAGTCCGAGGGAGGCGACGGCGCTCGGTCCGCTGAGGGCAGGCGCGGTGGGCCCTCCACGTGGTGGGTGGGGGCGGGGCTCCTCCCTCTGGGCCACTTTTCTTCTTCAGGGCCCGGAACTGAGTGCTCAAAGCGCCTTTCTGATTTCGTGAGGTGTCATGGCTGCTGTCCCCATGACTTTTAATCAGTGCAAAGACTGGGTCGTGGAATACCGCAGGGATTTCCCTAGCGTGCGGAGCAGACACGGGGCCTTCTCCCAGTGCAGAGCCCGCTGGAGCCCAGCTAGCTGTCTGCCCCGGACCCCGCCGCCTGGTGCAGAACAAATGCTGTCCGGCCAGCACACCAGCCCCTAGATAATTCCAAAGGGGAAATTCGGAGCCAGTTTTTTTCTCTGTCAGAAGGGGGACAAATGGGGCTGGGGATTTAGCTCAGTGGTTCTACCTCCTGCCCCGCAAGTGCAAGGTCCCACAAGGTCCCGAGTTAGATCCCCGGTACCAAAAAAAAAAGGGTGGTGGGGGAGACGATCTCTGTAACTCAGCACTCGCAAGGCCCTGGGTTCAATCCCCAGCGAGGGAGGTGGGGATCTTAACCCTAACGAACATCAGAAGCAATGTAATGTCAACACCCGGGAATTTCTTAAATACGACATAGCCCCCCACCCCGTAATGGAACTCTGCATCTTCAGTGTTGTAAATGTGGGCCGGTGTGGTTGAGATAGCTAGGCTGGCCCTCAATTTTACAGGGTTAACAAACATACTGGGATGGAAAGTTTAGAAAAAGGAGCAGTCTTCTAGGCTAAGATAACACCCAGGGGGACCAAGAGAAGGCAGTGTTGTCAGCAGAGATACCCAGAAAATGGAACCAAAAGAGATAATTAAAATCAGACAACTGAGGTGGTGGCGGATGCCTATGATTCCAGCACTTGGGAGGCTGAGGCAGGAGGCTCATCATGAGTTCTAGGAAAGCCTGGGCTACATAGAGAGTTCAAGACCAAACTGAACTGCATAACAAGACCCTGTCTCAATCCCTCCCTGCAAAAGTACAGGCCCCAATTAGGAATGTTCCCAGATGATAAGGGGCAAATTGCAGGCAGCCAGGGAAACGCATGTACAGCCACTAAAATCACCTATAGTTACCTTCACTTTACAAGCACAGCAAAAATCACACTCCAAGGAGGAGACCTGAGATAAAGGAGACGTGTGCTGCACAGAGGCTGATAGAGAACACGGTCAGCAGGCCTCGTGGTGGTGCCTGCCTGTAATCCCAGCGCTGGGGGTGGGGGTGGGGGGTAGTGGTGAAGGCAGGATGAAAAGTTTGAGCCCACCCAGGGCAATCAGCAAGATCCTGTGTCAGAATTTTAGAAGAAAAAGAAAGCATGAAGGAAAAATATTTTTTTTTTAAAGGTTTGAGGATGTAACTCAGTGCAGAGGCCTTGATTCAATCCTCAGTACCACACACACACACACACACACACACACAAATAGCATTTTCTCTCTGCTCCTCCCCTATGCACTCCTGCCCCTTACTAGCCGTCACTTCCCTAGTGGTCACCATTTGAAATGTCTTTGTTACTTCTAAGTATTGAGCTCTAGCTTTCTGAAAATAGTTATAGTCTGCAGTCAACAATTTCAGACATCTTTTGACTTGCTAGATTTTACTTTACTTTTTCTTGCAAGACACAGGGTCTTGCTATGTAGCCCAGGCTGACCTCAAACTCATGGTGATCCTCCTACCTCAGCCTCCTGAGCACTGGGATCACAGGCGTGCACCACCACGGCCAACTCTCCTTTCTTCTCCCCTTCCTTCCTTCCGCTATGGGACAGTGTAGAGGCGTAGTCTTTTCCAGCCTCTTGCTGTCTCCTTCAAAGAATTGGACGAGACAACTGATGAAGATGGAAATTCAACATTTATTTAAAATTAACAAGAAAGAAAGAAAGAAAGAGAGACAAAGAGAGAGAGAGAGAGAGGAAGAGAGAGAGGGAGGGAAGAAACCAAGCAAGCAAACAAGCAAGCTGGGATTTAGCTCAGTGGTTCTGCCGCCGGCCTCCAAAGTGCAAGGTCCCGAGTTCAATCCCTCGTACCAAAAAAAAAAAAAAAGGAAAGAAAGTGCTGAAGAATAAGTGCTATAAAGACATCCCCTGCACATAGGTAGGATGGGTCAGTGGAAAAGCAGAGGGCAGTGGTGGCCAAGTCAGCGCCTGGTCTTTCATGTCTTCTTTCGACCTCAGATCTGAGGGTGGGAAGTGACTTGAAGGCTCTCTGTGATGGACAGGTCACGCCCTGTTTCCCAGCCTCTTTGCCAGCCCTAATCTCCTGCCTCCTTCCCTCCCTCCCTCCTTCCTTTCCTTCCTTCTGCTAGGGATTTGAACCCAGGGCTCTCCTATGCTATCCGCCACCTCCACCCCCAAACCCTTCTTTTATTTTTTCCAATCTCTTTCTGGAACTTATATTAGACATTGGACTTGTTTCCTCAACTCACTCTCTCATTTTTTTTTTAGTGCTTGGGCTCAAACTCTCTGTTTCCATGATACAGTCACTCCACGGCATCCTTGGAAAGGGTCCATTCGAGCCCCCCACCACAGATGTTGAACCACAGAACCCCAAGTCCTTTACATAAAATGACAGAGTATTGGCATAAAACCTATCCACATCCTGCTGTAGATACTAAATTATTCCCAGATGAGTCATAAAACCTAATACAATGTAAATATGTGTAAATAGTTCTTCTATTGAGTCATTTTGGGAATAATGCCCCCCCAAATGTCTGTAGTGTTCACTACAGATGTAGAATCTTTCCCAAATATTTTCAATCCCAGGTTGCCTGAGTCCTAGAGTGCAAAATCCACAGACACACGCCGGGCCAGCTGGGCTACAGAGCAAGACCCTGTCTCAAAACAAACTTTTTTGGAAGTCTTTCTTACCTCTTTTTCTCTCCTCTCTCTTTCCCTGAGGGAGGATATCTGTTCCAGATTCATGGATACAATATCACCTCTTATCTCTCCCAGAATCTTTTGGGCTTATTAAACGTTATGTTTCTGTTTTTCTCCCTCTCAGTCTGTTTTGAATTCCTCACATGAGGGCTGGGGATTTAGTTCAGTGGTTTAGGACCTGAGTTCGATCTCCCGTACCAAAAAAACAAAAACCAAAAAACCCCACAAAAAACCCCAGCAACATATATGAATTCATCACGTTGCAAGCTCTGCAGAAGCCTGAAAGGAGCCATTGGGACCACAATGTGCATCTGGCCCAGAATTCGGCCTTTAACTGCTGGGGAAATAAAACCTCGTGATTAGGGATAATTAACACATTTGTGCACATGTGCAGGACTGGGTTTGAAGCCAGGGCCTTTGTGCAAGCTACATCCACAGCGCCCCTCGTTTTGTAATTTTCTTTTTTGTGGGGTGGGGGGTACCAGGGATTGAACTCAGGTCCTTGCGTTTGCAAGTGGTGGAACCACTGAGCTAAATCCCCGGCCCCTATAATTTTCTTTTTTTTGAGACAAGGTCATACTTGAATTTTCAATCCTCCTGCCTCAGCCTTCTAGAGGACTAGGACTACTGGTGTGTGCCACCATGCCAGCTTAATGCTTACTTCTTAGGGCTGCCCCGGAGTGAGTCAAGATAGCAACAACTTGAAATGGTGTTTGGCACAGTGTTTGAGATGGTATTCCTGTTCTGTTTTATTGAAGTATAATTTACATAAAGCTCTACCTTTTTTAGCATTCAGCCTCAGGAGTTTTGGGGGTTTTTTTTGTACCGGGGATGGAACTCTGGTCCTTGCACTTGCGAGGCAGGCAGCGCGGAACCACTGAACTAAATCCCCGGCCCATCCCAGGAGTGTTGACAAGGCAAGTGACACCCCACTCGGAAGCAGTTCCCACAACACCCACCCCTAATTCTCTCTCCCCACCCCAGCCCCAGACAACTACTGATCTGTATCTTGTTTTTGTTGTTTTGCCTTTTCCAGAATGCTTCATAGATGGAATCATTCAAGGATTAGGGGTGTAACTCAGTGTTATGTTAGAGACTGTTTAGCAGTCATTCTCGCTAGCCCATTCCTGTAATTGCAGCTACTTAGGAGGCTGAGGCAGGAGGATCTCAAGATTGAGGCCAGCCAGGGCAACTTAGCAAGACCATCAAAAACTAAAATAAAAATGGCTGAGTATGTAACCTAGTGACAGAGTGTTTGCCTAGCATGCAGAGTTTGGTTCCCTGAACAAGAAAAAAATAAAGTGGCACAGTGGTGGATCTGTAATCGTAGCTACTTGAGAAGTTGAGGCAGGAGGATGGCTTGAACTCAGAAAGAGCAACATAAAAAAACTGTGTCTGGGGCTGGGGATTTAGCTCAGTGGTTCTGTCACCTGCCCTGCAGGCACAAGGACCCCAGTTCAATCCCTGGTACCAAAAAAACCCCCCAAAACCCCCGTGTCTCAATAAATAAATCAACAAGCCAGGGATAGGGGCATATGCCTAGAATCACAGTACTGGGGAGGCTGAGGCAGGAAGATC